TATTAAAAAATTATCATTAAATTTTAATTTATTTATATCAAAATCGTTTTTAATTCAAATTTTATTTGAATTCAAATCACAAATTAACTCCACTACAAGGTTAGTACGCGTCTTGACGCGTTCACACTCAAATTTTATTTGAATTCAAAGCTATAATTAATTTCACTACAGTGTCAGTACAATGCGCTGCAGCCTAGCCCCATCTATGGAGCAATCTCATCTGGCAAAATTTCTCAGATAATGGTGTGGGAAAAAGTCCCACAGATAATGTTGTTGGAGAATTATTTGTTGATATAGGGCATTTGCTACAGGTCCACGTTGCTTGCCAGATGCTCTAAGTGACCAAGGAAGTTGCCAAGCTATCCCCGCGACCACTGCTGAGTTGCTGAAGTTGTCCATGCGCCATGCACGTAGGTCGCCCGCTGTAGGTAGTCATGCACGCCCAGCGACCTGTAGGTCGTCATGCACGCCCGACGATCAAGCAACGCCTGCTCCCCTGCTCCCCACTGTCCCCTGCATACAGCTATGATAGCTGCATTATTGTAGCATGATTCAGGCCGGTGATTCCCCTGCGCCCTTACATGAGCATGCAGCAGCAGCTGCAGCAGCTGCCACTGAACCAGAATGACAGCAATAATTGTTGCATTTCAACGCCCGTGATTTGCTTCAATTATTTGAGCAGCTGGGTTGTTATATATTGGGGGGAGGTTTCGGTTGTAGAAAGAAAGGGAGAAGAAAGGAAAGGAAAGGGAGAAGAAGGGCCTTTAAGGTAATTTTTTAATTTTTAAATTAGTTTAAATTAGTAGTTTGTTAGCTAGGCATAGTTTAGGGTTATGTTATAACGTTATATAACAAAAAAATTAGTTTGTTAGTTTAAGTTAGATTAATGTTGAAGAATTATATTAAATTTGTTTGTTGAATTACATTAAATTATATTAAATTTATTATATGTCATTATTTTATTAAAAAATAGTTTTAGTTTAAATTATATTAAATTTGTTATTATATGTCGTTTAATTTATATTTGTTTGTTTGTTTGTTGAAGTTATAATATATATAAAAATTAGTCAACTAGTTTTTTAGTTATATATAAAAAAAATATTTAATTAGTTTGTTAGTTAAATAGTTTAAGTTATATTTGTGTGTTGAATTCATATTATATAAAAAAAATATAGTTAATTAGTTAATTAGTTTTAGTTATATTATAATAAAAAAATAGTTGGTTAGTTTAAGTTATATAAAAGAATAGTGTATTAGTTGTTTAAGGGCAAAATTTACGTTTAAGTTATATTTTAAAAAATTTAGTTTGTTAGTTTATTAGTTTATTATATTATAAGTTATTATATAATTTTTTTGTTGAATTTATATTATATAAAAAATTTAATTAATTAGTTTATTAGTTTTAGTTATATTATAATAAAAAATAGTTTATCAGTTTAAGTTATATAAAAGAATAGTGTATTAGTTGTTTAAGGCAAAATTTCTCAATAATTGTTGTTTAAGGGAAAAATTCACGTTTAATTTATATTTTTAAAAAAATTAGTTTGTTAATTTATTAGTTTATTATATTATAATTTATTATATAAATTTTTTTTGTTGTTTTGTAAATTACAGTTAGTTAGTTAGTTTATATTAGATTATATTAAATGATTTTTTAAATATTGTTGTTTAAATTTTTTTTACAGATGGCTGACCAAATTCCATTGCTGAGACTTGACAATAAACATATTTCTACTCATTTGGGAATAATGGTATTATTCTTATTTAATAAAATAAAATATTTGTTTAATGAATTATTATTATTAAATATTTGAAGATTATTTTATGATTGTGATAATTTTTTTGAATTATTTAATTGCAGGATGACGAGCAGCGAGTCCTTCGTCATCAACTAAATATTCCGCCCAAGCCACACCAATTGATAGAAGAAAACTTGCAACATGTTGGATTTTACTATGTAACATTTGTACGAGAATACAAGTTGGTCCCAGGTTTGATCAGTACGTTGATTGAACGTTGGAGACCAGAAACGCACATATTTCATTTTCCGTGTGGAGAATGTACAATAACTCTGGAGGATGTGGCAATGCAACTCGGGGTCCAAACAAATGGGATGTCGGTGGTAATGAAAAATGAGTACAATAATATGGAACAACTTTGCAGTGTGTTTCTTGGGCAAACGCCAGTAACACCATAGTGTAAAGGGTGGCGTGTGAAGTTGTCATGGTTGAAGAATCAATTTAAGCTCCAATGAAATAATACGGAACAAGAAATTATATATGCAACACGAGCATATATTTTGCAGTTGATTGGGGGAATTTTGATGCTGGATAAATCCGGTAATCTAGTTCACACTTAGTATCTTCTATTTTTAAGAAATTTTGTGAATACTAGGCAATATAGATGGGGATCAACGATATTGGCGTTCTTGTATCGTCAGATGTGTAAGGCGTCATTAGTCATGAATAATAATAATACAGCATGAATCGGTGGATGTCTGATGCTGCTACAATCATGGGCTTGGCATAGACTTCCGTTTTTGACACCGATTAGTCGAACTGCAGTTGACTTTCCACTTGCCGGAAGGTAATATGAATTCTCTGTTTTAATATAAAATATTAATTATAAATTATTTATTTTGATTAAAAAATAACATATTTTTATTGATTTACAGATTGAGGCATAAAATAGAAGGCACTGAGTTGGTGCACAACAATATTAAAGAGTTTAGGCTGAAGATTGACATTAAGGGCAAAAAGGAGGTATATATAATATGTTATTATTAATTATTATTTAATTTAACTATATTATTTGATTTAAATAAATTTTATTGTTATTTTAATTTTACAGTTTAATTGGAGACCATACGTAGATGCAGAAATTATGGCGTGTGTGCCGCACGATGTTTTTTATAGGTGTCAATATTGGTGTGCTGTTACACCATTGATTAATTTTGCTTTTGTTGAGATCCAATTTGCGGATAAGTGTTGAGGCAATTCGGCTTCCACCAACCTATTTCGCAAAGTCCATGGGATCATGACCACCTCCACAAATTAGATGGTCGTCGTTAGGTGAATTGGGTTGAGACGCATGACCAGCTCCACAAATTAGATGGTCACCGTAAAGAAAATGAGAATTGGGTTGTGAAGCATGCAAGCTACATTAATGCTTGGAACAATAGGGCTTCATTCTTGCCAACTCTTGATCCCATTTAAGATGACGACTTTAATTTTGAGGCTTCGGCTTACCTTGATTATTATTGGGATAATAGAAAGTCGTTCTTGACAACAATGGTAGAAAGGCGACAGTTTTTGAAATTTAAGAAAAAGTTTGGTAAAGTTGAATACTCTCTACCGAGTGGGACTGGGAGTTCATCTCAACAACCTGAAGTGGAAATAACCCATGTGGATAATAGCGCACCACAACCATTCGACGATGCGGGATCATTGCATCATGTATTTGATGATTCTACTGTCCCGGCATACGTACCAGAGTTTGTGCAGCCTCAGGAACCCATTTACTCTCTAATGTTTGAGTCAACGTATGACTTTGACCAAATGACATCTATGATGTCAAATACCAGTATTTGTCAGTCAACGTTTACAAGTGGGATGGAAGAGCAAACTGGTGGAATGACAGAGCATAGTGGTTTGGATATATTTACAACACCAGTTGAAATGCCCCCAATGAATGATAAGGATGGGTACCATACTCCTGAGCAACCGCAACGACCACAACGCATCAGACATCCGCCCCGACATTATCATTCAACAGCACCCCGGCATCGATAACAATTATAAATTCAATTGTTATTTGTTTAAAATTAAATATTTAAATCAGACTAGTATTTTATTTTGTAAACATAAGTTATGTATTAAATTAGACTGATATTTTTTAAAACTTAAATATTATAATATTAAATATGCATGCCTCCATGTGAAATGTAAAAAGAAAAAATTTGACTATTTATAAATATAAATTCAACTATTTATAAATTTGATTTAATTTGAATAAATTCTATTTAAATATTTAATCATTATTAAATAATTATTAGTAATTATTATAATTTTATTATTAGTAATCATTATTAAATTATTAGTATCAAATCATTAAATATTAATAATAAATCATTATTAGTAATCATTACTAAATAATAATATTGTTATTGTTATTATTATCAAATTTCCCCGACGAGTTTGAATTCATAAATCTCTTTAAAATCTGACTCGTAAATTATTGAGTGTTATTATCAAATTTAAGGCTGAATTAAATATTGTTTTTTAACATTTAAATTAATAAAAAAATAATTCTTTTAAATGATTTAAATATGTACAAATTTGAATTTGCTAAAATTTAAATGGTTAACGTTCGAATCTCTTTAAAAAACTTAATAGTCAGAGGAAGATTTCGACTAGTCCACACTTGTAAAGATAAATAATTTTTTAAATCAAGATTGCTCAGTTTTGAAATTGAAGTCACGTGTAAGCCTTTAATGCTCAACTACGACTAGAAAGCTAAGTTAAAAGCTAATTTGAAAGCTAAGTTGTTTCAATTGAAGTTAGGGTCCGTTTATTTCACTGAAAACAGTTTCCGGAAAATGAAATCTGGAAAATGAATTACATTACTGAAAAACATTTTCCAAAAAATATTTGTCAGTGTTTGAATGTTACATTGTAAAATGTTTTGCACTGATTGGTTACTTTTTCTAAAAGCAGTTTTCAGAATCTGTTTTTAATAAAGAAACATACATATTCGATATGTTTTTATTTTTTACCTTTTAGTTTTATTAAAATTTCACACATTGAGAGTAAGAATCAAATTATTTTATCATGTTTATTTGATCATGTTCTGAGATGTGCTATGATTCCTACTGCACATTTTTCAGTGACAAAGCATTTCATGGATTTGGAGTTCATTAGTCCTAATGCTCATCCTGGAGTATACTTCTTTTATGACTTTTCTCCAATCAAGGTAGGTTATTTTTATTAACAATCAGTTCTAAAATCTTGACAGATATGTCTGAAGTACAATAATCATTTTTCACATAGTGTATTACCTGGTACTTATTTAACTACTTGGAGGTTATGTTGTCACAAAGTACATCACAATAATGCACCGTGATCGCAATATTCTATCACAATTTTCATGCTAAGTTTATGACATCTACCTTAGCCAGCAACTGTCATGCAGCTAACCACTTTCAGATAAGTTATTTCAAGTCAAGACATGTTAGCTCAACCCACATTTAACCTACAATTTAAGTCAAAGATTTGTTTGAACTTCTTTCTGCTAAATCAAGGACTATGTTCTCCAATAGCTTTAGAGATGCCAAATCCTTCTTTACTGCTTAACTTGTGATCTTAGTTCTACCTTAATCCCTCCTCATCTCTCCATGTATTTCATTACTCCAGCTAATGTGTATCCTCAGCCTGCATTCAATATTTTAAAACCATTCAAGTCATCCTTTAAATTTATGATGAATGGTTTTTTATTATTCTTTTCATGATAACCAATCAATTCTGGAATCGGTTATTTTTCTGCTTCACTAGGCTTAAAATTTAATGTATCAGTTCAAATATTAGAACAGGACATTTTTATATCAAACTAGCAATGCAACAGTAAAAGTGTTTGCTTTTCAAACAAGCCAAACCAAACAAGACTTTTCAGTCAACAACTATAGTAAAAAAAAACAGTATTTGCCATTTTATTATGTTATGGTTCATATTTTCACCTTATGAGTTGGGGTGATTCTGCTGTGCGGCGCCTAAAAACGGTTAAAAACGGTGTGATATGTTAAATAAGTGACCGGTTAAAATTTAGACTGGTTATGTTATATCATTTAACCGGAAATATTATCAAGTATAATAATATATTAGGTAGCGCTTATATAATGTAATAGGTAGTGCTTATATTGACATATTTTCTAACTAAACATGTATATTTAAATTGGTAACATTGCAAATTTACCTATTACATTATAATTATCGGTTTTGATGTTTTTGGGATTGATACAATTTTAAATGTATCGACACTTTATGCGTGCACCTCGTTGTGCTTTCATTTTGGGAAAAAAGTATCGACGCATATTTAAAGAGTGTCGATACATAATGTAAACCTATTTGCTAATTAACCAGTATATTTTTACCGGTCACATTGTAAATTTACCTGTTACATAATAATTATCGATTTCGATGTTTATGAATCGATACTTTTCATAAATGCATCGACACTTATGTGTGCACCAGTTTGAGTTCTTCAATCATAAGTTTATTCTTTAAGAAACTAAAACTGATCTAACTTTATCCTATGGAGATAATAAGAGTATATCATAAGTTTGCGTTGAGAGATGTTTGTTTCTGGGTTTTTGTTCTTTGAGAAACTGATAACATGGTGGGTTTCCCAATGTTATTCTTTTGTTACTGTAAAGTTTTTGTTATTTTCTTACTGGGTTTTGTTTAAAATATTCAACTTTTTTGTATTAAAAAATGAAAATTCTAAAATAAAAATGATCACACAAGCACACTTTTTTACTATCGGTTTTGTTATTTCGAGATCGATTTTGTCATATTTTTACATGTTATATTGTTATAGATCGATACATTTTTTATAAAGTATCGACACTTTATTGACGCTATAACTTCTTTTCTTTTAAATTCCAAAAGTGTCGATACTTATAATAAAGTATCGACACTATCAACATATTCGGTAGCTCTTTATTGGTTTTGTCATTTCGATACCGGTTTTGTCAAATTTTTACCTGTTATATTAGAGAAAATCGCCTCAGTGACCAAAAATGCCTTATAATATACGATTTTAACCAACTTTTTTTGGATTTGCCAAAATGACCAACAAAATCGCAACGCGAAATAAAAATCGCAACGCGATCCCCAGAATCGCAAATCAGTTTCCAAAATCGCAACGCGATTCTTGAAAATCGCAATGCGATAGTACAAATTCGCATTGCGATTTTCCAGAATCGCAACGCGAATATGAAAATCGCAACGCGAACACATAAATTGCAACGCGTATCCGTAAACCGCAACGTGTATCCGTAAATCGCAACGCGTATCCGTAAATCGCAATGCGTATCCGTATATCGCAACGCGTATCCGTAAATCGCAACGACAATACGTAAAATCGCAACGCGTATCCGTAAATCGCAACGCGATTTTTAAAGCGCCATTATAATCGCTACGCGTATTTTAATTTCAAATTACAAAAACGAATATTAAGACAAAATCTCGTAATCGCAACTCATAACCTAAAACCTAAAATCACAACTCAGTCCCATCTCCATCTCTCACTCTCTACGGCGAAATCCGTCCCCATCTCCGAAGATTTCCGTCCCCATCTCCGGCGAAATCCCTCACAACCATTCACGGTCAGAAATCCCTCACAATATTCAGAAATGGAAAATCAACCTCCGAGGGTTAGTTTTTTTAATTATTTTTATTTTGAAATTTTGCATTATTGTAGGTTTTTCATATTGAAACTGATGATAAGTTTACTGTCATTTCAATAATAGATTAACCATTTCACTTAGATTTCATTTTGCGTTACGATTCTCTCGTTGCGATTTTCATTTCGCGTTGCTATTCTCTCGTTGCGATTTTCAAGTTAGTATTTGTCTTTGTCTTTGTTCTGTCTTTTGGTTGAAGTAATGCAATCCATTCAAGTTTCAATTTGCAGAAGAGTCGCAACGAGAGAAATGAAAATCGCAACGTGAAAATGACTATCTGCAACGAGAAAAATGAAAATCGCAACGAGAGAATCGCAACGCGAAATGAAAATCGCAACGAGAGAAACGCAACGCGAAACCAAAATCGCATTGCGATTTTCATTTCGCGTTGCGATTCTCTCGTTGCGATTTTCATTTCGCGTTGCGATTCTCTCGTTGCGATTTTCATTTCTCTCGTTGCGACAGTCATTCTCTCGTTGCGATTTTCATTTCAACCAAAAGATAAAACAGTGTTGCAAATTTTAGTTTCAAGAATAAACTACTACTTTTTATGTTTATTGTTTTGGTATATCTTCACAGTGTAGTTTTTGGTATATCTAACTTGGTATGTTTATTGTTTTTGTAGAAATTTTTTTCGGCTTCATTGACATTAAGGAATAAAGTTAGCCTAGCCACTACAATTGCTTCGAAGCTTTCACCTGCACAAAGACAATTGTTTGAGGAAACCTGCTTCGGGCCATGGCTGAGAGTACAGCATCCGGGTGGAGATGCTAATTTGACCCATTTGTGGCTTCAGACCATGACATCAAATCTACCCGACAGTATACAACGTGGTGAGGAAGAGATATGGTTTCATTTTCCACCAGCGTATACTTGTTTTGGGCGGAAGGAGTTCTGCTTAATCACTGGTCTACGATTCGGACACGATGATGTAGGCCGGTACACTCGTCATATCGCCCGCCCATCATGGTTATCCCAGGTTTTTCCGGATGAGTCAATAGAGAAGCCGAACCTACACGTCGACGACCTGAAGAAATTGTTTAATAAGAAAGCTGGTTTCACTCGGATGGATGACGTCGATGTTGTCCGAGTATGCCTTCTACTACTTGTGTATGCCGGCTTTTTAGGCAGAGAGGCCAGACAACCTATTCCTCGGGAGCTAATAATATTGGTAGAGGACCTGAATGCATGGAATCTGTTTCCGTGGGGTTCGTATATATGGAAAGCTACCTGGACTAAGTTGTCTACTGCCTTTGATGACCGCAAAAGTTTGCGTGGCGATGGGTCGAAATACACTTTGTCAGGCTTTGTTTGGGCCTTTAAGGTAAGAATTTCTATATAATGTTTCTAAAATTATAATTAATTATTTAACAATTACTAATTTTGTTATTATATTGTTTGTAGATTTGGATATTCGAGGCTTTCCCCAGCATGCGTACATATGCAATAAAAACGTCAAATGATATTCCCAGGGCTATTTCCTGGAAGAGGAAAAATCTGTTGGATTGGGAAGACTTAATACCATATGCGACAATAAATAATGTAAGTTAACACAAATACTTTCATATAATATATAAACAAGTTATTAATAGTAGACGTTTAACTTTGTTTGAGTTTTTATATTGTTAGGAGGCCAACATATCATTACAAAGACTGACACCCACGGAGGAAGAGCTTGCCACTGATTGGTGGCAAGCTAGTCAGAGTTTTTTTGATGGCACGGATGATGAGCAGCATCCACTTCCTCCAATTCGAGAGCCATCACCTCACCCAGAGCCATCACCCGATCGACCCGACTATACACCTCTAGAACGAGAGCCATCACCTATCCCGTCACATCATCGAGCCTCTTCTCCACCATCACCTCATGATAAGCGACCGGTAAAGAGGCCACGACATTTATCTCCTTGTTCTCCACCTCCACGGGATGAGTTACGTGATGAGGTCAATGCCTTGCGTGAGGAGATCGGTACTCTACGCGATAACGATGGTGCATGGCGTGTGGAGGTGTCAACTTTACGTGGTGAGGTTGCCGCTCTACGTGAGATGATAGTATCGTTGCAGAATGAGGTTCATACTCTACGCAACGAGGTAAGTTTAAGATTTTCCATATTTAACTTAATGATAAATTTACTCGTAATTTCACTTAGATTAGCCATTTCACTTAGATTGCTTAGTAAATTTATTCGGTTGCTGCCAATTCTGCTAAACTGTGTATTCTTTAACACTGTGAAATAGTATTTGTCTTTGTTTTGTCTTTTGGTTGAAAGTAAATTTGTTCGTTGCTGCCAATTCTGCTAAACTGTGTATTCTTTAACACTGTGAAATAGTATTTGTCTTTGTTTTGTCTTTTGGTTGAAAGTAAATTTGTTCGGTTGCTGCCAATTCTGCTAAACTAATACCCTGAAGTCAGTATTTGTCTTTGTTTTGTCTATTGGTTGAAGTAATGCAATCCATTCAAGTTTCAATTTGCAGAAGAAGAAATAGTTTACTTTCGCAACACGAAACTTAAAATCGCAACGAGAGAATCGCAACGCGAAATGAAAATCGCAACGACAGAATCGCAACGCGAAACCAAAATCGCAACGACAAAATCGCAACGCGAAACCAAAATCGCATTGCGATTTTCATTTCGCGTTGCGATTCTCTCGTTGCGATTTTCATTTCGCATTGCGATTCTGTCGTTGCGATTTTCATTTCGCGTTGCGATTTTGGTTTCGCGTTGCGATTTTGGTTTCTCGTTGCGATTCTCATTTCGCGTTGCGATTTTAAGTTTCGTGTTGCGAAAGTAAACTATTTCTTCTTCTGCAAATTGAAACTTGAATGGATTGCATTACTTCAACCAATAGACAAAACAAAGACAAATACTAACTTCAGGGTATTAGTTTGAAACATATTTTTCTTTGTTATCTGATGCATTTTGTGAACTATGATAGAATAATGACTTGGGTGAATACAATGCAAGTTTGA